GGTGAAAGCATAGCAAGGATATTCAAGCTAGTGCCAGAAGCTAATTTTGTTGTAGAGGCTGCTTCCTGCTTCTTCCAAAATGGCCTGCGTAGCTCCAACTTGCACGTTGGAGCTTTAAACCTATGGAAACATAGACACTTAACTTTGCAATTTGTTCACTCTTATGGCCAGATTCTGCAGGCTATGCTGGTGAACAGGGCCATGCAGCTGAAAACATGTCAGCATGTATTCATTAAGTGCCTGTTTATATATTAGGAAATTGTCAGGTGTGGTTTTGAAACTCTTCCATGGAGGCTTAGTTACATATGAAGCTCATTCATAACAAAATGCAAAATAAAAGCATTCTTGGTCTGTTTGTGAGGATAGCGTAGTATCACAAATGGATATCTGGCAGTTTTAACAGCAGATGGGGTTAGTACTTGAGGCTTGTAGTTTACTCCCAAAGTGTAGTATCCTTTCTGTCACTTAGTGCAATGTCAAATTCTTTTTTTTTTTTTTTTTTTTAAACAGGTGAAAAGTAGTACTCTGGTTTGTTTGTTTTGTTTTTGTAGTTTCCATTAAACTTTTTTTTTTTTTTTTTAATAAAACATTCCTGATCTTCAAAGTTGATAATGTCTGGAACTGCCATTAACAATCTCTTGTTTTCTCTCTTTAGAAAGTTGTCTCTTTTGTGGATGAAGATGAAGCCCAAGCTGCAAAGGATTGTCTCCTGGTTTATTCTCAGGGAGAGTCAAGCTCTCCCCATGGGTCCGTTGGCTGCTGCAGCTTTATTGAGAGTGATCTTGATGACCACTTTCTTGACGATTTAGGGGATAAATTTAAGACTCTAGCGGAAATATGCATGGGTAGGCATATAGACATGAAAGACGCCAGGAATGAATCGAGTTTCGGTTCTAATGACACAAAGTCGGGGTTCCTAGATCAGCAAAGTACTTTCATTTCCAAGCAGGCCTTTGCCTCGGGCAGCCGCCCACGGCCAGCCCAGGCAGCAGCCAGGGAGCACAGGGGAGGAGCAGACACTGTGTCTCAGGAGGTAGTCACGGAAACAACCTTTGTGTCGAGATCTGGCCAGCATGAAGCCAGGCCTGTTCCTAAACCATTCTCTGAGAGCAATGTCACTGTGACAGAAACCTCCTACTCTGCTGCCCCCGCTGCCTCTGTTTTCTTAGATCCGCAGTTTAAGGAGAATGTAGTGGTGACAGAGAGAGTGTTTGCACCTGCTTCAACCTTGCAGGACATGGTAGAAGTCCCCAGTTTGCCAAATGGAAGTAATGTGGTGGTCACAGAAAGGACGATTAAGGCAGAGGGTGCCAGGCCAGGGATCTTAACAGCTCCAGATCTCCCAGATTCACAGTATGTCCTTGTGAGAGAGCGAGAGCGGGTGCTTGTGCCCACTTCTGATCAGGGCTCGCTCAGCTTGCCCAGTTTGTCTGAAGGGCAGAGCATGGTGGTGACCGAGCGGGTGGTCACACCAGCCCAGCTCCCAGGGATGCAGAGCAGAAGTGAGCTGGCAGCAGATGCTGGACCTGGCAAGCAGGAGCACGTATTAATCACAGACTCCCTGCTCAGTCAGCCAAGTCTGGCCTCAGAGGGGGTTCTCCCATCTGGGTCCACCCTGAGCAAGTCTTCACGAGTCACAAAATACAGCACTGTACAGTATACTCGCTCATAATTGGGGTCTCTCCCAGACATCTGTGTTTCCTTTATTTCAGTGCACATGTTGCTTTCGGGCTCTTTCTTGAGCTCTCTACTTCTTTTTGGAGCTTAAAAATTTCATGGACTATCTGGTGGTAAGTCCTATAGATAACGGTTATGACCAAGAGGCTAAAAAAGGAAATCTGCTGTTGTTATGTAGCACTTGCAGCTGTGCTTTCAAAGTGGAAAGGTGAACGTAAATTTTTTCCTTGTTTGCTAGGTTTGTAATTGTTTTTATTCAGACAGTATACTGACACATAACTACAGCTACACAATCATAGAAAAGCAGAAAAAAATCGGAAATCTTGCAATGGATGGTAGGGCACAAAGTTTATGTTAAGTTCCTGAACTGTCATTTTGTCTGATAAGACCTCCCCCAAAGACGGGGAGAGATTCATCCTGTGATTACCATTTTTTCCACTTCTGGGCCAGGGCAGCTTTCCCAAAGCTGTAGCTCCAGAGCACTAAGCTTCATCTAATTCACAGTGAAATCCCTCCTTCCTGAGAAGGTCAGTCCTCAGTCATTGTGTCTTCAGGGTGACAGTGTGATCGTCTTCTGGAGGGATGTTGCAACTTCAGGTTATAAGCAGTTTTGCCTTCTGAGTCATCAGTTGCATGCTGGCACATGAGTTGAGTGAAGAGTAAAAACGGAAAGAACTGAAAATGTTCAGTACCTCTCAACATAAAAATTACTTGGCCTGGATCTAGACAGACAATTCATGGAAAAATAAGCATTTCTGTTATAGTTTTTCACTGACTTCTAATTAATCATTTAATAATGTATGAGAAACAGCCAAAACTTATTTCAACTTCAGAGTCAGAAGTTTAGTGGCTTCTGTTAGCAAAGTTTATGACATCAGTTTAGTGTGGTTTACAAGTGCAATTAAGTGATTTTTTTTATTGCATCTGTGAACTCTCAAGCACAGAAATGACAGTGCAGCCTAACATGTTTTTCAGTTCCTGTGGCCTTTGTAGTACTATGTAATGGTAGTCTCTGGTAGCTCTGACAATAGGAATCGTACTATAATTCTGAAACACTTTTGCTCTTGAAACTTATGTGGTCAAAGGTGAAAAGAATTTTGTAATATTTGGTACTATGTATATATGCACATGTAAATATTTATTTGTATGCAGTTTTAAACATTTAAGATGAGCTTTTTTTATATTAAAAAAAGAAAATGTAAACCACTGTAATACGCTCCTCATGGTTTGCCAGAGTAGAAAAAAAAGTATTTTAGATTGTTTTAGCACAGTAAATGTTACCTGTAATATCAGTAAGTTAGTCAAAGCCCATGCACCTGCAGGAGTTTACAGCTGTCTGACTTCAGGCAGCTGCAGCATTATGCTTTTCATTGATATGCTTTGCCTGTGACTAGAAATGCTTTCAGTGTATTTTATTTGAGGGAGAAGAAGATAAAAGTTTATTCGTAAACATAAGAAGGGTATGGGTATGTTCAGCAAGGTGAATGTAAGCACAGGCTGTTTCTTTAAGTGGAAGAGAACTGCTCACTTGTTTGGTCCTGTTAGTTATTTATCTCTTATACTCTGGTTTTAAAGTGTGTGTATTTACTTTTAAGAATCATGCAGTTTTAAGTGGTGAACACTTTTTTTTCCTGCAGTTAGAGGGCGTGACCTGAATATATTTCAAACTTTTTAATTGATTAGTTCTGAATTTTTATGCAATCTTAAATAAAAAAAAATCTACAACAATTTTTGTCATGACTTATTCAAGGTTAAAACAAATCCTAATTCAAAATCCTTGGAAATCCTACACCTAATTGCTGCAAATAAAACACTCTAAAGGACTTTAATATTAAAGGCAGAGTAATAAATGTTGGTGTCCTGCTAACTTTGAGATTCTGAAAAAAGTCAAAACTCTGCATGTTTTATTTACAGCTTTTATTGGAGCTAGCCAGTAATCAACACAGTTATTAGTATAGCAAGACTGGTTATAAATGAATATCAAATAGTGAAGTGTCCTTTTTTTTTTTTGCTTTATTATTTTTTTTCTAAGCACTACTGTCCACCACTTCATCCACATGTCTTGATTTCATTTTGTAAAATGAAATCAAAGAGTCTTTTCTGACATCAGCATGAGTACAGTGCCTAGGGGCATCAGTTGTCCATCTGCTGCCTTCTGAGGGGGAAAAGAGAACATATATATAAATGTTAGTATAAATATATTTGTTATATATACTAAATGTTATACTTACGTTTCCAATGGTATCAGCATGTGCTGGTGCTAGCAGTACATTCATCTGATTAACACATTGCTTCCACTAGAGCCATTTTTATAAATGAATGTTTACAGTTATGCAAACATATGGTTAGCATTCAACCATAGATAACCCTGTTCCTTGGGATTGCTGTGGTCTAAAGTTGTCTAATCTAAAAATAACAGAACATGGTTACCTTTGTGCTGAAATACCACAGTGACAGGGCCTGTATCCAAATGGCTGGTGATTTATATATCCTGTTCCTCCTCACTGAGGCTGTCAGGCGTCACAAGTAAGAATCAACATGCTGCAGCAAGGTTGCTGCCCTCCTTTAGCACAAGGGCGGTGGAAAGCAAGTGGAGACTATGAAAAAGTATAGTACGGTGTAATACTTCAAGGTGTAGTCAGAGTGAGGCTAGACTCGACAGTTTCTTCCAACCTCGGATATTTCCTGAGCATTTGATCATCTACCCCTCTCTCAAATTAAACCCCGGGCCTTATCAGCAATAAATCAGTTCAGAAAGAGTTAATATAAATCAGCTGCTCTTTCCCAGGAACCTGACACTGGTGGTAAGTGTTTATGGCCTCCAAGAATCCAAAAAATCTGTCCATCCCTATCTGTTTTTACTGTGATGGATGAGCTACAGCTTCTGGCTGGTTTGCTCCCTGACCCTTCCTTCCTGTGGCTTTTGTGCTTTCAGTGCATTCAGAGTGCAGTCACAAAAATTTATTTTTCCAGCTTTCTTGACAATAAAACCTGTCCTATGCCTGCCACTGTCTCAGACTTTCAAATACGCTCCTCCAAGTGAAATGCCTTTTCTGAAAAGTTAACGGGGGAAAAAATCAATATCAGATTTCTGTGTGTAGAGATAAGAGCCTGTACTGTTTAAGAGCTCAGGGTGCTGTTTGAGTGCAGTTTTTGAGCTCATCTTGAAGGCTGGGAAATTTGGACCATTTGACCTTAAGGCAGGAGCTCTACCTGGCATGGCAGAGTCGCTGTTGCCCCTAGCAGCATCCAGGGCAAGCTCAGAGAGAGACCTGAGCCTTTTGTTGAGCAAAATACCTCGCTTGCACCAAGGATTTGGCATGCGTGCTGCGTGGTAGGGCACTCAAATGCTCTCAGCTTGCAGGCCGTGTTTGCTCTGCCTGTGTTGAGGCCAGCTGGGGCCTGGGGAGAAGGCCAAGCCTGTTTGTTAACAAAACAGGGCGTTACAAGTATGGTGGAGGAATCACAATTTTGGGGAGACTGCCTTGAGAAGCCACTGCTCTCCCACACTCGGGTGCTAAATGTACACTCTGTGGCAGTCCACACCTGTAACTAAAGCTGAAGCGCATGGCTTGTAATAAGAACTACTGTGGATATTAAAGTTTACTTGACTTTACAGGACCACTGGGCAAGCACATGGAAAAAGAAAGCCATTGAAGGTTACTGAATATTACAGAAACTACGGCCAGTTCAGGAAATCCCTCTGCTAGATATAGCTGGTAACTGAGGAAGTCTTCATGGGAAGAACCTCCTTCATGGGTTTCATGCTCAAGGTGGGGCACTGGCCTGGAAGGACTATTGACATAATCCAGTAGAGGCTCAGTCTGCAGCAGAAACTAAACAGCAGGAACCTGAGTCACTGGGATAGCAGGTTAAGGAAGCTACTGGATGAGAAGAAACAAGGAGGTTCTCTCCAGAAAGAGCAAACATTGAATAGAAAAGAAAGAAAAAAAAAAGCAGGGATAGGGACCTGCCTGCCAAATACTACATGCCTGGTGCTCCAATCATCCCAGGAGTATCCCTGTGCCAAAAAACACCTGGACATTGTTGTTGGTGATCAGCTGGTGGTAGATGCTACCATCTCTTACACTACTCGAAGCACCAGGGAACAGGCAGTGGATTCAAAGGCAAACTCCCAGTTTCAGCAGGTGGCATCACCTTTGAGACTGGTGTCTGCATTGGTTCAAATGCTCTTCAGACAGCTCACTCTTCCCTGGCGTGTCGTACTGCTCAGCAGGCTGGCAAGTGAAAATCTTAATTGGCAGCCTCCACCTTGGGAGGGGGACAGTTGGAGTTACAATGTATGCAGAAATATAGGTGCTAAAGCTGCTCCCAAAACAGGCATAAAACACCACCGCATCCAAGGTACATCCAATACTACAGTAGATGAGACTGCAAGTGTAGTTTTGAGGCAGGGCTGGATACCTATTCCAGCACTGCGTGGAGGTGGCATGTGGGGAGTTTATCCTCATTTTTAAAACTCCTCTTTAAAGAAGCCACTGAAAGGCTTTAAGGAAAGGGTCATAAGGATAGGGTGCACAGTTGAAATCTGAATTTTTATTTAACAATAAGAGTTTTTGTCTTGCCAAATGCTGGGGGAAAACCAATGGAGAGAGAGGTTTGCATGCTGCAGACATTTCCTTTAGTTATTCTGTGGTTTTCTTTTGGTTACTGAAATACTTGTGAAGAGTGATGGAGGAAGTGTTTTCCAAAGGATGACACATTCCAAAGATGACACATCTTAGAGTTCCTTTGGAAAACACTTCCTTGACACATATAACAGAAACTACCCTTAGATGAACTGTGGGAATGTCTCCAGAAAGTGCTGTGAATGATATATATATATATAAAAAGAGAAATAAACAAAAAACAACAACTGAAAAGCATGGCAAACAGTTGTTCTGCAGCATGCTCGGGAGGATTTTATAATCTCTCCCACTTCTTCTCCAGTCTGGCTTCTAACCTACGATTCAAATGTTTCATCAGGTTCTTTCTTTTAGA